ATAACAATGTGTAGTAAACGTAATTTAAAACTTGAGGAATAAATGTTGGCCTGCATACCTTTTGTATGAGTTTAAATTGCTCAGTGAAATATGTAGCTCTTTCTCTCTCAGGGTTCTTCTCAGCAGACTCAGACAGATCATCCCAGTACTGGAACTCATCACTGGGATGGAGGATACCTGCATAGGATTGTGAGTTCATAGTTTGAAATTCATAATTTATCTTTGCTGTGATCAGATTCAGTCAACAGATTTTCCTTTTTTTTGTTGACAGCCTCCTTTGAGAAGTGAACAAATGCAGCCACCACACCAACTTGCAGGGACAAATCACGCACGTAATGTAAAGTCTCCAAAATAAAATTGGTAATTTTCCAATATTGGTTCTCTATGCACCACACCTGTGGACAGAAATATATGTACGCCTACCGAGAACGTCTTCCTCTGTGCGGCCCCTCTTGGCAAAGACTTGTGGTCCGGATTGGCGGACCACTGAGCCCAGGCCGAGCTCCAGCTCCCTCAGCAGGCCTGCCAGCTTGGGGTCAAATGCTGAACACCAGCGCTCATCCTTGAGGGAGGGGAAAGAGATTTTAGACTATATAGCCTCATTTTATGCTCCAAACTTATTGACTACTTAAACAAAAGCTTTGTTATAAAATGTTGTTGTTTTTTCAATAATAATAGTTAAAGAGAGTGTTTTTCCCGTAAATAAGAATGTAGGAAATGTTTTCACTAATTCTAACTCCAAATTCATCTGTGGAATACATGAATACACAGACACAGGCTCACTTTCAATAGTACGGGTGCAAAGACTTGTCTTAAAGCCTGGTAGAGGGTGTTGATGGGAGACTCCAACATAGACGACACAAGGAGGCTCTGGTGAAGGTTCTCTTCTGTGATCACTGTGGGATGCAGCTTGAAGAACACTAACACTTTGTCTTTGCTGTCCCCCGATGCGTCAATCTAGTGAAAGGACGATGGGTGGTTTTTAAAGGTTTTAAAGTCTTTGTCGGGTCAGGTTGAAAGGTTCAGTCCATTTATCTTGCAGACACGTTTTTAAAGTTAGGAGGATTGCCTTCTTCCACATGGATAGTTTTATCCACACACATTCTAACATTGTAATGCTTTAGTTGTGTGTGTTACCTTATTTGACAAGTGAAGCTCACTGTCATGTCTGCTGACGGACAGGACAAATTCATTGCCATCGTCCAAGAAGTTATTGAGCTCCGGGCTGTCAAGGAGAGACGGCGACGGCTTAATCCCGTAGAAGTTGCCGGTTGTGGTCAGGACAAACTTTTTGCGAGCATCCTCTGACCCGTGGGCCATCTTTCAGCTGGAGTGATGTACGGACGCCGAGAAAGCTGTACAGAAAATAACGCACAAGCTTAAACCTACTCATTTGGTACTAACTTTGTATTTTGCCTTCCCAGGATTAAATAACGTCAAATAAGGAGCGTTAAAAGACTCCGTCAACCCACATGCTCATCCAAGTTTTCCGGTTCACTGTTTTTTTAACTAACTTACTTTAACATAAGGAGTGTTGGGTGCGTTAGCATTCAAGGTATCGTCTTTGAAGTGACGTATTAGAGCAGTGCTAACGTTAGCAGTTCTCGCATCGCTGCTAAACTGTTACAAGTTAACATTAACTATGCTGTCTCTTGCTTCCGCTCAAAAATGTTAACGTTAGCTTATAAAATAGCGTCCAAACGATGTTTTTTTGTTTCGGCTGTCTCTTTAGAAACGTTACATCGTGCGGACTGAAGCGGCGTTTACAGTCATGGTGCAGCATTAACGTTAGCTGTAAGCAAGCGTTTGCAGATGACACCAGCTAGCATGCTAACGTTAGCTCCCCACCTCTCTGAATTTAAGTTACGCATTTTAGCTTACGCTGACTTCAGCACTATACCAAGCTAATACAGATGCTGGTTGTATACCGTTTACCCACCCAGTGTTCTATTCTCCGAGTTTCTGATAACTCAAATCCATGGAGGAAGTAGCTGTAGCAATATGTTACTAGCGCCTGTGGGTTGCCATGATTATGCTTACGTGGTTGCTAGGTAACAACAACGATCACTTGTACCACGTGACACAGAGGAACCTATCAGCGGAACTAGATATTTACGCATTGTACGTACACATTATTTTTAGAATATCTTCATAGACGGCCAGTTTCAGCCATGGTTCATCTAGATAACATTTTCCATCACATTGGTATATTTTAGAAGCTCACGGGATTTAAGATCAATTGGTGTTATCAGTGTCATGGCTAGTGAAATTGACCATGTTAATTATTTTGGGTTTTAACAAAGGCAAAACTACTAATTTATATGTATTCAACAATAACAGCTAATGTTGTGATTTTTGCTAATTTACCTCTATTGGCCTCTAAAGAGAGATCTTTTTACTTTTTTTAAAGTCTACTGGCTTCTAAAGAGATGTCATATAGGTACACCTATTTATGAATGCTTATATCTTGCATATTCATGTTTTTCTATAACTTCAATAGGTGTTTCTCACAATTACCTTTATTAACAATTTCCAGTTACCAAAGTTTTAACATTATTATTTATCCTTAGGTGTATAAATAACACTGATGATTACACCACATTTCTCAAAACAGCCTCTAAACCGATCCTTGCCTCTTGAATTTTGTGCAATCCACACTTCCGTCAATGTATTAATGCAGCATTATTCTCATCTAGGCTGAAAACGTATCCAAAGACACAGCAGATAGCTAATATCAACTGCAGACTTTGCAGCAGCAAGTGCTTTAATTTTGCTTGTATAAATAATAGATGTATCGTGCATTTGTTTAGGTTAGGGGAGCACTTTTCACTTTTGAGTTAAGTTCTCTTGCATGTCAAAAATACCCTCTCATTTCATCAATCCTCAACACGAGCATTCCTGCTTCCTCGCGTCAATATCTTTGGACAAGGATGAACAGCAGAAACATACTAGCATACAAAAATGGGTTCTGATAGAAACAATAGGGGTGAAACAAGAACAAATGAGTAGGAGGCCCAACTGTTTGGGTACTTTTTGATAAATATTTCAGGAACACACATGGAAAATCCCCCATATTCCTTGTATCTTCTGTTATGGCAAAAATAAATGCAACCCTTCAAATGTTTCATTGTACGAACAGTTTATAGATTGAAAGCGCATGCTGTGATTGTGTGGCTATGGAAAAGTATTGAGATGAAGTGTCTCACCCAATGTCTGGCTGTAGTGTAACAACAAGTTGTTGGATGTAAGCAAGTTTATGTTGATGCCACCAAAAAAAGATGTTCGTGGCAGTCTGGTGAGCACAAAGTTTTTGTGGAATAAACAGAAATAGACATATTTGATTCAGTGCATTCATTATTATTTTACGATTGTGCAAATCTTTCACCACACTTCCCTAAATTATTCTGTTGTGACTGAATAAAGGACTGTTTCCCTTATATCAGCTTATTAACTCCCTTGTGGGATAAACATGTTCTATGGTGCTAGGGGGGGGGGGGCTGCACACAATGCAATCACAATTTCAATTAAAATCTTAATTATCATAGCATCATACTGCCGTAATGAACAAACTAGAGAAACACCTCTTCAGACTATACCTTAACCAAAAAACACAAAGAAATTGTAGCACTTTAATTGTACTTATAATGTCTCTTATATATAGCAAGATGTAAATTGGCTTATTTGATGAAATTGCACTTTCTTGTTCTACTGGGTTTGGGTCCTTATGGTTGAAATGCACCTAGTGTAAGTCGCTTTGGATAAAAACGTCAGCTAAATGGCACGTAATGTAATGTAATATCTCACACTTAAAAGGAATTCTCATGCCTCTATTTGCCTCTTTATTTTACAAATAACAAAAAGGATAATTATTTATTGGTTCCTTACCATAGGGCGGCACGGTGGCGTGGTGGTTAGCACCGTTGCCTCACAGCAAGAAGGTCCTGGGTTCGATTCCACCCAGTGGCCTTTCTGTGTGGAGTCTGCATGTTCTCCCCGTGTCTGCGTGGGTTCTCTCCGGGTTCTCCGGCTTCCTGGGGACATGCTCTGGGGATCAGGTTAATTGGGGACTCTAAATTGCCCGTAGATGTGTGAATGTGAATGTGAGTGTGAATGGTTGTGTGTCTCTGTGTAGTCCTGCGATTGGCTGGCGACCAATCCAGGATGTACCCTGTCTATCGCCCGAAGTTGGCTGGGATGGACTCCAGCCCCCCCGCGACCCTGTGTGCAGGATAAGCGGTTTGACAATGGATGGATGGATGGTTCCTTACCATGGAACCTTTTAAATGGCATATCTATAACTGACTCTGCTTTCACAGTATGAATTATTATGTTGCATACCCTGTCGTCAGAAAAGACCAACACAAACGGATATCCACATGGAAAATCGTTTGTACTTCTCAAAATGTCCTACCAAACAACAAATTGTATAATAACGGCTGGTGTCTCATTAAACTAAGGGGCCCTTTGTCCTTTAGTTCCCCCTCACTGAGAGTCACTCAGGTCGATCAACTGCAACAAGTTTTTCCTGAAACAAATCATGTAAAAAAAACACACAACTGTGATCCCATCTGAAAGAATTTACAAACGGTGAGGTAAGATTGAGCTGATAAGCAGATAATGGCTGCTTCTGTGACGTCGCCATAGTAAACCGAGGCACTAAAACGCCTGAATACACACAACCTCTCCCCCGTACTATCTCACAGATTCTGTGGAGGCCCATCTCCTAATCAAAACAAATTTCAGAAAAAACAGGATTAGCATATATTACATTTGCTGTTGTCGATTATTAAAAAATAGACCTAGTGACATGTCAGTAATAAGAGCAGAAAGTGAACCGTGGCTGATGTCCCTCTAGCTGTCAGTTTCAGGGTCCTAATGTGGTACATGCTGGTTTTACTACATATCATAACACCACATGCTGGGACTGAGCTCACAGATTACTCATTCGATGACGCCGTCAGCTCCACCCTCTCTGATTAGAGGAAGTGCCTTTCTCTTTCTCTCAAACTAACACACAGCTGCCTGACCAGCGCAACGGTAAGTCGTCTTTTCTCATTTCACTGTTGTTTGTCACGTCGACGGTACAAAGAAAGACTCTCTCATGCATTTATATAGGTTTCTGTTTAAGGAAGAACTCCGTTGAACAGGAGCATGTTAATGCCTTTTTTGTACGTGGATGTGTGTGTGTGTGTGTGTGTGTGTGTGTGTGTGTGTGTGTGTGTGTGTGTGTGTGTGTGTGTGTGTGTGTGTCTATGTGTGTATTTTGCGTGCAGTCATAAACGCTTCCCATGAGGGTTTCAGGTGCTAGATCGTAGTAAACAAAAATATAGTATAAACAACAACATCATAATAATACATCTAATTTGTAATGCACTTCATATTTAAGCAAATCCCAAAGTGCTACATGATAAAACAGGTAAGTGCTAACAATAAAAACACATGGCGAGTTTGAAAAAGAAAAAGAAAAAGGGGACGAGTTCACTCAAAAGCTCTCCTAAAAAGGTGGGTTTTTCGGCCACGTTTAAAAGCATCCACAGTCTGTGGTGTCCTTAGGTGGTCAGGGAGAGCATTCCACAGACTGGGAGCAGCTGAGCAGAAAGCCCGATCTCCCATTGCACGGAGCTTTGTCCTCTCACAGAAGATCTCACTGGCCTCTGCAAGACTAACTACTTACAGAGGGAATAATCATAGCTGGGATATCAATTTTGAAATATTTTGACGCATCTCTGTGTGTATGAGTGACTAACAGATACCTGTGAATACTCCTATGTGCTGATCAAATGATTAGTGTTGAAGAATACGTGAATTCGAGAAACATATATTCATTCGCTAACAGTTATCTAGATGACTTTGCCGACACTGTGTATCAATACCAGCTGAAACAAATAAACTTCTCCTACCTCAAGGATTACATGTTAGCTGTGTCAAACAGGTATGTGGTTTCGGGCATTTAATCTGCCAACTCTCGGGCATTCCTCAAGACAATGCAGCAGGGTGTGGTGTGGGAATCCCCGACTGTGTAAACACGATTTTACTACTGTAACTGTTGGTGTAATCAAAGTAGATGGAAATGATTAATGAGAAACAGAAGTCAATCACAATGCTCATTAAATCCGCTCTGCTTTGCCACATGTTTGGTTGATTTACTTGTTTACACAGTATAGTACAATACATTGAACTATACACCGAATCCTAAAAAACAATGACATAGCTATTACTTGGCATGAAGTTATTATATTGTATCATATGATTATTTTATTTTAGGTGCTGCTGTAACAAACGTGTGTGCTAATGAGTCAACAATGGCATATTTATTAATGTAACGTTCATTATTTATCCGGTATGACTTTACAGTACTTTTGCTATCGCCCGTCACTTGGGAATTCCCTCAGATGTGGTTTTCGTGGTGCAAAGACACCCTAAGAAATGCAGAGTGCAAAGCACATGATACTCGAATTTGGGAAGTTTCAATACACAAGACTTTTCTCAAAAGAGCAAAAATAGCCTGTTTATTTCTGGACCGTGTATGTATGTAGTCTGTATGAATAGAGCGAGCACGAGAAGACGCGCTTCCTTGTACTTGTCCTGTTGCATTGCAGACCACAAAGAAGCAAATGCCCATACTGAAACGATGCCTGACATTTTAGTTGTAGCTGAGTAGTAGCCTCAAACATTCATGTCTCCAAGTTCTGAAATTGAACATCCGCACAACCTAAACTCAACACTTCAAACTCTACAAATTCCAAAAAATAAGAATACTAGGAGGAACCCTTCTGAAAAGGCTTCTTCAGACACTAATGGGACTTTCCTATTTATGGATACCTGTTGAAAACAAAATAGCTTTCATGTGCAAGACTGGCTGTTATATTGTGTGTTTACCATATGAACACCCAGTTTAAACTTACAAAGCATGCCCATTTATAAAGAACTGCTGGTGGTTTAAAAGGAGCTGGTTGAGTATCTTTCTATGATTCATGGTACTTGGCACTGATTTAAAAGATACCAAATCAAAAGATGATCAATATCTTTACCGTGATTAACTTGTTTGTCTCTTCAACAGGAATCACATTGCGAACTACAGTTTGTGTGAGTACTCAAAGCCCGTTTGTATTATCTCAAGATTGTTGTGCAGTAGATAGGACAATGCCATGACGCACTTTGAGTTTATTTTCAAATGATCTGCATAATCTACCATGATGAGAGCTTGAGATATGATGAAGAGTGTGAGCTGAACTCTCATCACTTTTGAACTACCACCCAGGTTTCATCACTCAATTACACTGTCTTTACTGCTAGTTGCTATTGGGACAAGGTATTCCATAGTATTACTGCTGAAGTATTACCGTGGTCAATAGCAGTGTTCCTTTGTAGTGCTTTAAGTCTGATAATAAACAGTTTATGACACTGCATTACTTAGTGGAGTTATTAATGCATCTATCAATAAGTTAACTCTCCTCATTCGCCACACCTTAAGGACCCATACATTAATATAGTCACTCATTCATACTGCTAAACTGAGTGAACTTTTTTTCTGGCTATCCATAAAATGATGTATGGCTTTATAGGCCCAAGGTTTCCCTGAATAATCAAGTGTTTTTATCTGCCTTTCCAGAACAATGTTACTCTCACTGCTGGTGTTGGCTACATGGCTCACTGATGTCACAGGTGGGCAGTTCTGTCATATTCTGTCATATCACCGCCTCAACAACACATCGTTGTCTTTGTTTTGTGCTGAATTTTGGGAAATGTGTCTCTTAATTTGCTTTTCTGGCAAAAATCGTATCCAATTTTTGGTCGAACTATTCACAAGCCTTTCCTTACTACCCACAGTCATGTTGTGCACCTACTTGACGAAACATGAAATATATAGATGTAATAATATGAGGTATATACGTCACAGCGCAGAGGCACTGAGCCATTAAGGACCATAAATCCTAGACAAAAAGAGATATCTAGCGAGGGGAAGAAAGAAAGGTTTTTGTTGGAGTAAGATCAAAAGTGAAACATGAAGGGGGAGGCCGAAAACACCCACGCAGAAGGTGACAATAAAAAGAGATATAACAAAATGCCAGGCAGCTCTGATACTGTGACCTTTACACCATGTACAACATGGAGGGGATACCATTAGTTGTATGTGTTTTCTTTTAAATTTCAAAAGACAAAACGCTGAAGAGGAACTGAGAGAAGTCTACGACGTCATAAAGAGAGGCGGTAACTGAACGGAGAAACTGAACAAAAAAAACCTTTACTCAACCAAAGCCAGTCAGTCAGAGCTGTTTACTCCTAGTTTACTGCTTGTGTTTATTATTTTAAGTTGCAAAATACATTAGGAAAACCTTTGTTATTGGTTTTACCTTCTGACCCCTGAACACAACTTTTGCCCCCTTCTTAATTGTATTTTAATGTTTACATTATACTCCAAACACCATTATTCCTTTAACACCTACATACACGATGCGTTATTTTTATGATGTGTATTTTTTTAATGAACCCATACATTCTGTTATTCCCAAATTGCCTCATTCAATGACAGCTTTTCATACTGTTTCTGACACTTACGCTTGATACCTGTTTTTGTTTTTTTCCCACAAGGCGCTGCTTTGATTGAGCTTACAGGGAAAGTTGGCGGCGAAGTGACCTTCCACTGCCCCGTTGACAAACAGAAGACATTGAAAATGTTGTACTTCCAGAAGGGCATTGACTTTGTGAACGGCTACTATGCAAAAAAAGACGCATCGAAGACGGCATGGAGGAACACCCGGCTGGATCTCAACAAGTCGACCGTACACATGAGCAATCTGAAACCCTCACATGGTGGTGACTATAAGTGCATAATCATGTACAGTGATGAAAGCTCAATTGAACTTGATGTACAACTACGCCTGACTGTCACAGGTATGATTTAAAATATGTACTTTGTTGCATTTCAAGTAAGCTGTGCCACCTACAGTACCACTACTCGACAGCGCACTTTTTTGTGCTCTTTTCTCTCATAGCAAACTACAGCAAACCTACGCTCACGGTGCACTGCAGCGATGCCATTAACAACTTCAGCTGCCTTGTGCAATGCGCCTCACATGGTGGCTACCCACGCAAAGAGGTGACTTGGCACGTACCGCAGAGTTTGACGGTCGTGAATAACAGTACGACGAGGGATCCAGACACCACGACTTTCAACATCTCCAGCACCGCCTACGTCAACTGCTCCGATGGTCAGCAGACTTCCCTCCGCTGTTCTGTGGGCAACGTCAGCTCAGACATTTTCACTGTGTGTGAGTAGGCTACACTTTCACATTGTCATTTTTGTAGCGCCGCTAACCAAAAGAAAAGGATATCTTACAACCCGTGCAAAGGAAAACCACCGCCATTGGCGTGAACAAGAATTTAAAAATCTGTTATAAAAGCAAGTATAGAAATAGTGTCCCGCTTAATGTTTTTTTTTGGTTGTTCTCATCTGAAGGTAAACGCAAGCATCCACTGGGCCACAGTCCTTCTGTGACTATAGCAGCCATCTGTGCAGCTGGGGTTGGCTTCTGTATTATGGTGGCATTGCTGTGGAGGTGTTGTTGCTATAAGAAAGGACAGAGAAGTATGGACCTATATTAGGTTTGTCACATTTGCACATCTGTTTGTGAAAATACGAAGATGAAATCACTTAAGTATAACGTTGAAAAGCTCACAGCTGTTGTTTTGTTGGTTTCCAGAAGCAGCAGCTGAGTGTGAAGAAAATGGATGTGAGGAGTAAGTGGTTGTTTGAACCTACGTGTAATACTTTGATTACATTTATAAGTAATGTAAAATACCAGCTGATAAAGGGTCCCATGCCGCACAACTGCAATGAAGAAATGTTCAAAGACTGATATGTTCTTTGTAAGCCTTCTGACAGTATATATGTTTTTCTTTTCCTTTCTGTTTGCTCCAGGGAGGTAATACGCCTCCATGCAAACCAAGGGGCATGTTGAGTGCTGAATTGGTGAAGAGGAAGGTTCCGAGTTGTTGTCTGAGCATATTGAACAAATGTTACAGGTGTGACGCAGATACTTATAAGTGATAAGTGTGAAAGGAGGTATCGCTCATCTGTATCCTTTTACGGGTAATGCACTGTTTCATTCATTTAAGAATCGGTTTCTTATCCTGAAAAAAACTTGAGGTTGAGGAAACTGAGGTTGACGTAGTGTGGAAAACAGCTTGTCGGGGAGACACTTGTGAGTAATTATATCGAAAATACTGTATGTAATAATGGTAAAATGTTGTGTATTTTGTACTGTTACACTGACCTCTACTGACCTCTTTTATATATTCTGCATGCTTCACTCTATTGACTGTGTTTTAATATTACCAAATGCAGTTTAATTTATTTGCACTTTAAAATTACATTTCCTTATTTATCGTCATTAGCAAATCTTTAAACATTGGTCTCCACCTTTGTTGATTTGAAAAGTGACATCAAAGATTAGATCCATTTATCTGGTTCATGTTTTTACTCTTTTTAGTTTACTTTTGTGTTACGGTAGCTGTGTCTACCAAAAACGATATCAGCTTTAGCTATTAAAAGTAAAAAATATTTATAAATGCAGAAAAGATGGCTGTCAAAGTGCAGTTTACACGTAACTTTGTTCTCAGAAGTATTATTTTTCTTTGTTTACTGCTTTAACCCTTTTTTCACAGGTGACTATTCTCATTGAAAATACGAATAATTTCTAAATATTTATTGATGATTTTTTTTTTCTTATGATCAAATTGTAGACCATTAACACTATTCATGGTGCTTTTGTCTTTCATTCCTCCTTCTCCAGAATTAACAAACCATCTCATAGGGCTGCTTTCATTTTGTAAATCTCTAAGAAGCACTTTTGTAATGTGGGTGTTCTGTTTTTCGTTCCCACATGAATAAATGATTTCTAAACAATACAATCAATTAAGCCTGTGTAATTACTTTACTGTGCACTGTGAAACATTGCTTTCACCTTTCACTTACTTCGCTGTGGTGATGGTTGGATTACGATTTGTCAACCGCATTAGTCACACTAACTGGTAGAAATAAAGCCGAACACACAGCACAAAGCAGAACATATTTATTTTCAATGGGGTTTCTTTGCCACTAGATGTCCTCCTAGCACTACAAAGACGAGACGAATCTGCTGTTATGGCTTAATGGTTTGGTTTGTATTGTGTGTCCTGATGATTAAACAATGTACGTGTTCATATTTGTGAACTCGTCGCACAATCCAACTTCCTCTCCATTGGCTATGGGAATAAAAAAAAGTGTCATATATGAGCAACTTCATCCCAATCCTTTTGGACAAGGATAAATGTCTTTCGGACATCAACATGTGGTCACCTGCCCGGGAAAGGACGAGAAGTGCACTGCATTACTGAATGAAATTAAACAGAGAAACAGGAGATGCAAAGAGATTGTTGAATAGATGCGTAAATACATCAGAGGAGGCCGAGGGCGGGATGTAAGACCAGATGTCCTGTTGAACATATAACCCAACGATCATTTGAGATATACATGTCTCCATTTCCACCAGCATGCTCTCTCTAGGCCTCTTGCTTTTTCCCCTTTTCATATTCACATTATGCCTCCATTGCTCGTTTGCTTTGTCTCGGCCTCACGAGTCACTGTGACAGGCTGTCAGTGCACCTCTCTGCCTCGTGTTTACATTGGACTGCAGAGCAGCAGCAGGCTGGTTGCACTTCAGGAATGTAACCCCAAGGTCCCTGCCCTCGTCCTCCTCGTCCTCGTCCTCCCCCTTCTCCCTACGTCCATCCTCCATATTTCTCCTATCGTAGCACATTATTATATCATTGGACAATTTCCCTTCTTCCCGTTCTCCTCACTCTCCTTCAGTTTTTTCTTCAGTTGTTCCCCCCCCCCCGTCCTCCCTCGAGTTGTCCTTCCCATTGCTCCATCAGTCCCCAGACGAGCTCCCTTCTTCTGCCTCCTTTCTCTCCTCATTTCAAACCCCCATTTTTTGTCCTCTGAACCTCCACTCCCCTTCTCTTTCGTCTTTTTCTTTTCCCTCTTTAAAATTCAGACAGCATTGTCCAAACTCAACCCCCTCTCACCCCCACCCCCCCACCACACACACACACACACAAACACCTCCCCATTCCCTGTCATCATCCCCTCACCTCCCACTCCTCCCCATCTCTCCGTCCTCCCTCCCTCATTCCTGTGCTGTCTAACCCAAACAAACCAGAGAGGACTTTCCTCTGTGGTGGCTGTGGGAGAAATACACCACATGTCAGACTCGGTTCAAACATAAACAATCGATTTGAGGTACTGGAAAAGCCTATGAGGTGCTTAGATTTAACGTGAGATGGAGCTGCTGTAAGGAAATCTTAACGCTAAAACTTACCACTGAATATACAAAAAATCAGAGGAGAGAACTGTATATTTGGCAAGATTATTTTCCTGGAATGGGGGAACTGCATCAAAAGTCTAAAACCAATGAACTTGACAGAAGAATAATGTAAAAAAGTGGACTTTCCATTCATATGTACAATGAAGAAAGCAATTAATTTGTTTGAAACAGAAGCGTTTAATATCATTTGTATTTTGACGATGAATGTCGCTGATGTACTGTAACAAATATCTTTAGAGATGGAAACACTATTTAAGATACTAATTACCAAAACGTATCAAGCGTGCAATTATAAAATGTTTCATCAGCAGACTTTGGGTCAAGGCAAAGAAAGGAACATTTATGAACACGGATCTGTTTTCCATGTTTCCCGGTGACGCAGAGCGTGTAATCTCCTGCTCATTGTGGAACCTTTTCAGCCAGAACAGTCCGGTCTCAGCAAGCGGTGTGCGACCTCTGCCACCCTGTGCTGTTTGCCGTCCATACCAGGAGATTTATAATCAGATTACATTAGTAGAAAGTCAACTAGATTAGTTTTAGTGCGGGGAGCCGGAGCACAAGGCCTCGATTCACAAAGGGGTGAGCGGAGCAGACCAGCATGAGGGAGATCTTTAATGTTCCCAAAACAACACCAGATCATTCAGTCTGTAAAACCTTCTTTTGTATGCTCGTCTGTGTGCTCGTATGAAGACCTTTGCTGTCGTCCACTTTCCCGTCCAACGCAATGAATTTTGTTCTAAATTGCAATGGATACTTTTGTAGATGGGGTAGCTTGAAGGAACCCAATGAGGTGGACGAAGCAGAGACGGTCAGGGACCGAGCAGGTCAGGAGGTTTGGCTCTGGTGCTTCAGCTGAGTGATCATGTTGTTGCTGTCACGGCAGAAACCGTCTCCCTGACCTCCACAGACAGGAGAGGTGACCTGGAAGCATTTATCACCTCTGTGCTTTCTCACCCATGACCTGAGGCCCGAGATGGGGTGAAGAACACGGGCAAGCCAGAGAGAAGGAGAGGAGCTGAAGAAAGACGGGATGGGAGGGGGGGGGGTAGCTATTTGTTAGCTACTTACCTCATAAATAGTTCTGCAGCATAAATGTTTGTCTCGAAATTTGCACATTACTGGAAGAAGAATTGCTTTGGGTACTTTAAATTTATAGCAGGTTTATGAAGCTCTTGGAAACCGTTGTGGACTTTGTGAGTGTGTGAATGAATGGTAATATTTCTCTTGGTCAGAAGATGAGAACAGTGTTTTATGTGTTGGCCTGTTTCGGTTGAGCCAAGAACCCCTTAGCAGACACTGGAAAACCAAGTTGGGAGAAGGATGTCTGCTGGCTCGGAGCCAAACACAACCATTGACAGCATCAATAACGGCCATACACCAAAGGAGTTCTTGGCCAATGCTTCTGCGTGAGTGTTGATGAGCAGAGTCTGAGCAGACATCTCCTTTGAGTATTTATAGTTCTGCTTAAGATGTGACCTTTCATTTTACACACAAACACCCTCCTGCACAGTCACACACAGCGTGGTGTGTGTGTGTGTGTGTGTGTGTGTGTGATAAATTGCACAGTAGACATTGTTCTCAGACAGGTGATCACGCTGAAGCCTACTGTCCCACGGGAGGATCTTATGAGGCCAATGAGAAGACACCTACATGAGGGATTGGTGGGTAAGAAGCCCAGTTGGCAGCATCCTGTTCCTGCAGAGGCTGAACGTCAAAGACTGTAAATGCGTTTCAAATGCTGCAACGAGGCTGAGATTTGTTTATTACAACATTGCATGTCTTAGTTGGTGGATGTTCACATCTCACAACCGACTACTGTGGAACTTCTCCTTCTGTGACATTCTCTGGACACTGTAACGTGTTCTAGTACATGAATTGCAGACTCTTGAAATAAGGAAAACATTGTCGATTAAACCAAATTGTTTATGTGGTTAGAGGCAAAGCTATAAAATGAAAGAAGACCAGATTTGAGCTTTAAATGGAGCCTGGCTATCTGTGGCGTTTTCTCCGACTGGATTAGAAGCCTATATTTTTATAATGTCAATTATATTGTTTGAATTATAAATTATGAAATGAAGAGGTGTAATATTATCAAATATTTTCAGTTGAAAAATTATCCACAATTAATGAAGTTAAGTCAGCTGTAGAGTTTAGGTAGTAAATACATGTAATTTACGGCACTGAAAGATGATCAAGCTTCTTGCCACGTGGGAATGCGTGTCTGTCCATTGATGCCAGTTATTTCCTGAATTACGACATTAATTCCACCTTCATGAGCTACATCAAAGTTTGATAAACAGTGTGTTCCGTGTGCGCTCGTTCACACCAAAGAGCTGCAGATGAAGGAGCCACACTTGAAGCTGAGAAAAGACGCATAGAAAGTGTCTGACGTGCTGTGCAAGCCGGGGACACTTGACACCAACGATTCCCACACGGCAACCGCCACTTAAATGCATCTGGACACACCAGACATGGCGAGGGAATCAACGAAGGACGCGGTGTACGGACGCTAATGTGGCTGAAAGCTTCGCACACAGTGGTGCCTTTATTTTACTGTATTTATCAGAGCGATGAGCTGCATGTGGGAGCGAGATGAAGATGCGTGTGTGTATTTGTGTGTATAATAAGAGACACCGGAGACGGGGAGAAGGTCATTCCTGGAGTCTGGTCCCATGGCTTTGATCGGTTTCTCCTCGCCTCAGAAATAGACCGGCCAGGACGGCGCGCGCACAAACTCTCACTACGTTTGCACTCATACCGTTGTTGTTTTTTTTAGATGGGAGGCTCTATGTATAGTAGTGCATCACGTTTAGTGTGATGATAGCTGGGATACAGCTTCTGTGCTCAAACTCAAAGCTTCATCGTTCATTCTTGATGTATAAGGGTACTTTGACTATTGACCTTTTTAATGGTGTATGTTATTTTAACAGGTTTGCACGGAGAAGAGCAGGTTCACAAGTTGTTTGATGTTTTAGCTCTGTTTGGTCTTTTGAATTACGACTTCAGCAAAATTCTCAGTGCAGAGCTTGAAGAAGGTCTTAAAGTATTTCATTTTTCCATCACACATGAAAATGGTAATTGATGATTTGTTATTTAACACCAGACAACCAGCTGTTAGTGGAAATTAGTGGAAACACTAGCATGACCAATTAAATTAATTTAATTCATTTAAAAACGTTAAAATGATCTATTTTGGTTACTTTTGCACACAGAAACTGTCTGGAAATAACTTCACACTAAAGCACAAAGATGGCGAGCTTATTAATGCTAGTGAAGTTCTTAAGTATACCGTGTAGTTGGTTGTCCTTCCAATAGAGAAAGCAGCAGTATAAATACATTACATGAGTAAAAATAACTATTGCAATGGAGCCGTTCAGTCTCTCACGGAGGCACAGACACTGTGATATAGTCAAATGTTAAAAATACTCTAGCTGTGAGGGACCACAACTTAATATAAACAAGTTGGTCTAATAACTATTTTCACTTGATACCACCTCCAGCTCCAAATACTTGGTAATATGCAACAATTTAAAACTTCATAGTGTC